GTGACCGTGCGCGGCAGCCACGGGCCTGGAAGCGTCTGGAAGGGTCTGGAAGGGCCCCGACCCCTGCAGGGGGAGCGTCTGCGCCCGGGCCACAGCCCTCCCGAGGCCGACCGGGGAACGGCCACGTCTGTCTCTCTCTCCCAGAGGAATGTGGGGTCCTCACAGTTCAAGACAATCGAGGACGACCTGGTGTCCGCTCTCGTCCGGGCCGGCTGTATTCCCGAAAACCACGGCACGGACATGAGGAAGATGTCCTTCCAGCGATGTGCCCGGACGGACAAGGTGGGTGCAGCCCCTGCCCCGCCGCCCCAGGGCCCGGCCGGGGTCCCTGGGCTGTTGGGATCAAGCCCAGCACTCTACCACGGGAGCGACCACACTGCTTCTGGCTTTTTGCTGGTCAAGTGGAGATGAGAGTAACGTGCACATGTCTGCCTGGGATTGTAAGTGTGAGCCACCAGCCCTTGGCTATGCTGGTATTTTTTGTGTGTGTCCTGGGGCCTGAACTCTGGGCCTGGGCGCTGTCCCTCAGCTCTTCAGCTCAAGGCTAGCGCTCTACCACTTGAGCCACAGCGCCACTTCCGGATTTTTCTTTTTGCTTATGTGGTGCTGAGGAATCGAACCCAGGACCTCATGCATGCAAGGCAAACGCTCTACCACTGAGCCACCTTCCCAAACCCTGCACTGGTATTTTTGGGATAGTCTTGTGTGTGTGAGTGTATGTGTGCATGCATGCCTGTCTGTACTGGGGCTTGAACTCAGGCCCTTCATACTTTCACTTGTCTTTTTCACTCAAGCCTGGTGCTCTGCTACTTGAACAAACCTCCAATTCCACTTTTTTTTGCTGTTTCTGCTCAGGCTGGCTTTGAACTATGATCCTCAGATCTCAGCTTCCTGAGTAGCCAGGATTACAGATGTGCATCATCCACCAAAGCCCAAGGACAGCACTGTTGTCATACTTGATTTTTCACTGATGTCTCTGGAGGCCTATGGAGCTGGATGTCTCCTAGCCCCACTCTGTTAGGGAATGTGGTGCTGAAGGTCGTACTCAGGGTGGGGATGACTCCATCCATTTCTCCTTCCTTCTCTGCCTTTTTTTTTTTTTTGTCAGCTGTGGGGCTTGAACTCTGGGCCTGGGCGCTGTCTCTGTGCTCTTCAGCTCAAGGTGAGCACTCTACCACTTAAGCCATAGCACCACTTCCAGTTTTCTGGTGATTTTTCAGAGATAAGAGTCTCACAGACTTTCTTGTCTGGGCTGGCTTTGAACCATGATCCTCAGATCTCAGCCTCCTGAGTAGCTAGGATGACAGGCGTGAGCCACTGGCACCCGGCTTCTCTGTTTTTTTTCTTGCCATTCCTGGGGCTTGAACTCAGGGCCTGGACACTGTCCCTGAGCTTCTTTTGCTCAAGGCTAGCCCTCTACCACTTGAGCCACAGCTCCACTTCCTGCTTTTTCTGTGTATGTGGTACTGAGGTATTGAACCCAGGGCTTCATGCATGGTAGGCAAGCACTTTACCACTGAGCCACCATCCCAGCTCTCTACTCTGTTTACAGGGTGTATCTGCAGCTGGTCAGGTGGTATCCCTGAAAGTATGGCTGATTGATGACATTCTGGACAAGATCAACAGCCACCTTCCATCCCATATTCGGATTCTGGGTAAGCCTTGACGTGTAACAGGCTGCAACCTGGCTATTGGTGGCCTTGCAGAGACACACAGGGCTGTGTGGGTTGGCCTTCTTTGTCCATCTTCTGGGATGTAGAGCAGTAGAACTGCAGGTACCTAGCAGGTGGCAGGGCAGCCGTAGGTCTTCAGGGAGTCAGAACTGCCGCTTGTGACAGACAGTTGGGTGAGCCCTCTGTCTCACACTGCTGTTTCATTGTGCGTATGGACATCATATTCCAGGTGAGAAGGGGATGGCTGTTCCCTTTTGTAACAGAATTGCTAAATGGGGTTCTTGGCTTCTCTGTTTTTTGTCTTGGCAGTGCTTCAAACAAAAAGAGCCTGTGTTTGCTGAGCAAGTTTTCCAGGCATATTCCAGCCTGTTTTCCTCATTTCCCTATTTCCCCATTTCTTCCTACTTTCCTTTCCCCTAACTATCTCCTTCCTTTCCTCCTCTTTTTCAAAAAAGAAAAATCTGTTGTTCTTTGAGTGCACAGGCTTTTAACGCGTATTTAAGGTACAGTTTCTTGTGCTGAGGATGGACCTCGGGCCTTGTGCATGCCAGGCAGGTGTACTACCAGAGCCACACCCCAGCCCTGATCAGAAATTGATATGAACGGATCATACCTTCTCTCTCTCTCTCTCTCGGTTGGTCCTGGCTGGCTTCAAACTGCAATCCTCTGATCTCAGACTCCTGAGTAGCTAGGATATTGCAGGAAGGAGTCACTGATGGCTAGCTCATGCTCATCTTTTATGTGCTGCTCCAGGACTGAAGAGGGTGACTGGAGGATTCAACTCCAAGAACAAGTGCGATGCCAGGACATATTTTTACATGCTGCCCACCTTCGCCTTTGCCCATAAGGACCGGGATGTGCAGGATGAGACCTACCGCCTGAGCACGGAGACCCTGCAGCAAGTCAACAGGCTACTGGCCTGCTACACTGGCACCCACAACTTCCACAATTTCACCTCACAGAAGGGGCCAAGGGAGCCCAGTGCACGGCGCTACATCTTGGAGATGTACTGTGAAGAGCCTTTTGTGCGTGAGGGCCTGGAGTTTGCTGTTATCAAGGTCAAGGGCCAGAGCTTCATGATGCACCAGATCCGAAAGATGGTTGGCCTGGTGGTTGCCATTGTGAAGGGCTATGCCCCAGAAAGTGTGCTAGAGCGCAGCTGGGGGGAGGAGAAGGTGGATGTCCCTAAGGCACCTGGGCTTGGCCTGGTCCTGGAGAGGGTGCACTTTGAGAAGTATAACCAGCGCTTTGGCAGGGATGGGCTGCATGAGCCACTGGACTGGACTCAGGAGGAGGGGAAGGTGGCAGCCTTCAAGGAGCAGTATATCTATCCCACCATTGTCAGCACAGAGCGGGATGAGAGGTCCATGGCCCAGTGGCTGAGCACCTTGCCTGTCCATGACTTCAGTGCCACTGCGCTCGCAACTGCTAGCACAAGCGCCAAGGTAGGGCTGAGTCTCAAGATGCTGGCCCAGTGGGTGAGTACTGGCTCCCATTTTTAGCGTATGCATGAGCATGCTGAGGCCCATACATGTCACTCCAGAAGCAGACAGCAGTGGAGGACTGGTGGCCATGGCCTGCCTCCTGTTCACTCTTTACCCTCAGTGCCAGGTGACCTAGGTGCTTAAGACTTAGTGAGCTGGAGCCAGCCAGGCGGTGCTGGGTAATGCTGGCCCGTGGCCGGTCTGAGTGGGAAATTTCAGGCATGGTTTTATCCCAGCCTTGTACTCTTGGAAGCTATCTGCATCTATGAGGGTGGCACTGGAGTGGGGGCCAGCTTTGCTGTGTGAGAGCATTTGACACTGCCCATAACCTGGCCTCAGGCCAGCCCCTTGGATGGACCAGGTGATAATTGCTATATATATTTTAGAGTGAAATGACTGTGGACCAGACTCTTCAGTGGGGAAGAAGGACGGATGATAGATTGCCATGGTCTTCCCCCAATCCCCCCCACCCCCGGGGAGGAATGCCTACTTGCATGAGATGCAAGTGCCAGACCCATAGTCATTTTCCTGTCTGTCCCTTTTCTGCAGGTCCCTAGTTCTCTGGAGGGCAGTGATGGAGATGGAGACACGGACTGAAGCTGCAGAGCCCCACCCAGGGTCTCCATGCTGTGCCCATCACCTGGGATATGGGGAGCCAAGATTTCTGGGGCCAGCCTGTCAGGTGTGGCTTGGCTTCATAACCTCAGGATATTGAATTTTCCTCCCAGGAATACCTGCATTGAATCTATTTTTAGCTCATGCATTATGTGTGCATACTTTGGCATGTAAAGAGACTATTTTTTTTATAAGGAGATGATTTTCTTATTAAATAAAAATAAGTTTTGTTTGATGTTATCTTTTTCTCATTTGTGTTGAGAAGAAATGGAGAGCTGCTGTTGGGATTGGACAGTTGGCTGAGGGATGTGGTAGCAAAGGGCAGGCAGCAAGAGGTGGTGGTACTGCTGCTGCCTTCTCCTTGTTCCTCCAGCCCACCCGACATTCCAGCCCTTCCCTTTCTGGTCTCCCCGAAGTTGTCTCTTTGCAGTCCCTTGCCATGGTCTCAGCTAATCCATTGCTGGCCAGCTCCTAAGCCGTGGGGAGACCCTACCCTGTTTAGCAGCCTGGCAGCTTCCAACGCATATGCACATGCCTCACCCTCCCTCCCCGGCCCTCAGGCCCTCCCCTCTGCCCATCTGCTGTGCATTCCTCGCAGAGGGAGCTGTGGTGGGCCCGTGTGCTGTCCCCTTCTGCTGCTGCTGGTACAGTCCTCACCCCTCCCACAGCACCCGTCCCACGGCCCTGTCGCATCTAGTGTGCGGGTTGAGGGGATGGCGCGCCGCACTGGCCCGCGCCCCGTGCGCATTGCTGGGTGCCAGGTCTCCCTGGGGCGCCCGTGGGTGACAGGGTGCACGTTTCCTCCTCTCACCTTTGCGGAGGTCCTGGGGTTTGAATTCAGCTTTGGCGCTTCGTCCCCTGAGCCACGCTTTTGGCTCAGTTGTGCCGGGGTTTTATTTCCCCTGGGTGGTGGGGCGGGGCCGAGCTGCCCGCGCCGCCCTCCGTGCCCAGCCCCTCGGTAGTCAGCCTGACAGGCCTCGGCCCCGCGGGCTGCTGGAGCAGCCTGGCGAGCTCCAGGGAGCCGCAGGCCGCGCCCCGCAT